TGTACAACAGTACCCCCAACCGTCCCCCGTCTGCCAAAAGCCCGCATGTACTCCGAAGAGTCCTGTCTCAGTTCCTCGCGACCCACCGCGACTTGTTCATCAGTTCGGGGACCTTCATGCAGCTTCTCAGCCAAGAGGGAGAGCTAGCTGGAGATATACTGTTGGCACTATCAGTAGCGATGTGAGCAGCATGTGATATATGGCTAATATCGAAGACTGCTGAGATCTGACCCCGCTTGTCGACATCAGAAGTGGATTGAAGAGCTTGCCGGTTGCCGGTGCCGGCACTGATATCTCCTCACACTTCTTTCTCCCTTTCTACCCCGGCCGGCTGATATGCCGAGCTTCAGCAAACATAAAGGCGGGTTTATCGGGCGCTGGCCGTTTTGGGGTGGATCACTTCTCCAAATAATTCTTGAGTCCCTTGGGATTGTTCGGGTACATGCCTAGGTACGCAACTATTACACGAGGTATACCTCGATGTCGTAAATCGACGGCCAGGTACAGAGTAAGGCGGCCATCCGAGGGGGATGGGGGGGAACGAGAGGGGTGGTCACCAGGTGGATTGGGGAGGGGTTTACTTTACTTTTCGATTTTTTCCAGAATCACCATTATTCTCACTGAACGTCGTTTGTGTCAAGTCTCAGTTGTAGTTGTGCAAGCAGAACAAAGTTCTTTCTGGTTTGCAAGAGTCTTGTACCTTTGTCCTCGGTATTTCCTGGAACTCCAATCCGGTGGCCAGCGCCCGTCCAACCACTACCACGACAACTACCCCCTGCCTCTACCAAGACCAGCAGCGGCAGTACTCAGTACTTAGGTACTCTCAGGAAAGAAAATCCTCGAAAGACAAATCAACCCCCCTAACTTTCTATATAACCAGACCTAGAAGTTCCTAAGGTAAAGTGCGCGTCGCGACAGCCAAAAAAAAAAACGAAAAAATCATGTCGACGGCCGGCCCCCCCGTCCCCTTTTCGTCGCTCCCACTCAACAAAGCCGACGCGGCGGCGCGGCTCAACGCGTGGGGCGCGTACGGCGAGACGGACGAGCTGGGCTTCCTGAACCGGCAGACGCCCGAGACGGTGGCGGCGGCGGCGGCGTCGGAGATCAAGAACGGGACGCGGGTGCCGCTGGACGCGCCGCTCGACTTCCAGGGCCAGAAGCCGCTGTTCGGGCGGCAGGTGTTTGTCAAGGACGTGTACCAGAAGAAGCCGCGCGTGGTGCACGACGACACGTGGTCGTTCAACACGCAGAGCTCGACCCAGTGGGACGGCCTGCGCCACTTTGGGTACCAGAAGGCCGGTCGCTTCTACAACGACACCACGGTCGAGGACATTGCGGGCGCGTCGGCCAAGGGCGCCAAAAACCCGAACATCCTGGGGATTCACAACACCGTGGAGCGCGGCGGCGTCATGGGCCGCGGCATCCTCGTCGACTTCCGGCGGTGGATGGACGAAGGGCCCGGGCGAGAGGTCGTGGGTGACTCGTTCAAGCAGTTCCACACCTCGGCCATCAAGTTCGAGTGGCTGCTCGAGACGCTCAAGTGGCAGGACAACACGACGCCGCGCTTCGGCGACATCCTGATCGTCCGCTCGGGCTTCTTCCAGTCTTACCACAAGATGGTCAGCACGCCCGAGGGCGAGGCCGAGATCCAGCGCCTGACCTCCATGTCCCCCCCCGGGTTGGGCGGTGTCGAGCAGTCCGACGAGGTCCTCCGCTGGATCTGGGAGCACTTCTCCGCCGTCGCGTCCGACCACCCCAGCTTCGAGCGCTGGCCCACCCCCTACGACTGGAGCATGCACGAGGTCCTCCTCGCCGGCTGGGGGTGTCACATTGGCGAGCTGCTCGACCTCGAGGCCCTCAGCAAGGAGTGCGCCCGTCAGCGCCGCTGGAGCTTCTTCGTCGCCAGTGTCCCCTGCTACGTCCCCGGTGGTGTGGCCAGTCCGGTCAACGGGGTTGCTATTTTCTGAGTGAAACGCAGTTTTTTAAGGGCGAGGTGGTGGAGGAGGAGGGTGGTGGAAATCCGGGAGAAAAAAAAAAGAGATGAAAGAAGTCGAGGCTAGTAGTGGTAGAAAAAAGGGGGGCGAACCACATTCAGACCAGACCATAACTCCGTCGTGGATCTCGTGACTGTCGAGAGTATGGGGCATTGTATGGCGTGGCAGAGCATGGGATGTGTGAGAAATAGTTGGCTGTAGATATATATATCTGATACATATGATACAAAATCTATATGTGACATGAAGATTACGGATGACGTTGATATTATACAGTGGTCACTACAATGTAGTGAGTTCAACCTTGAACGTGATAGATAATACATCCTCCCAACCCGTCCGCCGGCTGACTGACTGTCTGACTGATCAACCAACCACCAACAGACCCTCCACCAAGCCAGCCGAGACGGTGAGCAAAGACAGAAAGAGAAATAAACACTAAGCAGGGAATGCCTTCCAACCAGAATTATGGACCTATGGTAACTTTTTGCCCATCCCGATGCAAAGTCGTTGCCGATGCCGATACCGATGCCAACAATGCTGCTTGAAGGTTACAATCTCGATAAAGCACGAATGCTTTCATAATCTCCCCCTTCATCCAAAAACCAAAAAGCCGCCATGCATGTCAAGTAGCACAATGAATGGTGTTCCTTCCCTAATAACCTTAACCGTAATGTTCCCACTCCAAAAAATGGTAGTGGTGATATCGATAGCAAGAGAAAAGGGGGGCATGGTTGCCAGGTCGCTGGTTGGGGCGTCCTGCCAGTGTGAGCGGTGCAGTGCGGTGTGGTACGGTGTGTGTTGGTGTTCCCGTATAAAAGACGCCCGACAGCGTGGTATACTGCTGTCGAAATACTCCGTGCAAAGCAGAGCTTAGCAGTTTGCCCCCAAGACAAAACATTGAATCGCAATATCCATTCTCGAATTCGAACAAGCGTGGGACAATTCCCTCAGTAGGAGGATGCCCACGCCTGTGGAAGGGTACGTATACAGAGAGGGCTCACACGGAGTTCCTCCTATTCAACCACTCCATTAGCATGCGGTGTTTGTGGTCCTCATAGTTCTGAGCACACGTGGCTGGCTTGATGTTCCTTCTCCAATGTGGTATGGTGGGCCGGTCAAACTGCATGCCAAAGTTGGAGGGCGACTGGCCGTCGTATAGATCGGCCTGGGGCGTCATGGGGCACTTTGGAGGAGGCGAGGGAGGGGAGAGGTGACCCTCGACTTTGCCTTCGTTATAAAATGCTCCTGGATGAGTGGGATGGGGGTTGTATATGTGGTGGCGGAGTTCCCTCCAAGGTGGAAAGTGAGGTTTGGGCCCCGAGGACTCGGAGTGAGAGCGGACTGGGCTCAATGGATAGCCGGGACTAAACGCCCTTGCAGGCGAAACCTCTTGTCCCGGGGTTTGCTTTGGTGATTCGGTCTGAGTGCCTTCTGACACCATGGTGTCGGTGGCGTTTACAGGCATGAGTACTGTCGAGGTGGTTATTTGTTTCACCTCGTGTATGGCGGGTGAAAAATCAGGCTCTTGGTGTAAGTGATGGGCCTGTTCTTCGTTATCTGGACTGTTTGTGAGAGGGTTGCAGTCTGGAGGAGTCACTATAACTGGAATCTCAACCATTTCTGGTGTATCTGGGGTTATTGCATGGTATCTTTTTCGCGTACTCTAGTCGTCAACCCCAGCGGCTGGGTTAATGTCTTTATACCAAGCACGTATGGGGGGATTAGCAAACATGATTGGAGAGAGACATTTTTGCCGGGTCGGATTTGCCGCTAGAGAAGTAGCTGGACGACCACGGATGTTGAGGGGAACGAATACACATCCACTTCACGAGACGAAATGTACACGGGATGCGTATGACGATTGGGTGAACCAGGCACAGCCCCCCCGCCAAAAGGAACAGCATCACTTGACGGCCGAGCGCTCGCCGTCGGACGACTCAGGCTTCCGAATGGGCTTTTCCATGAATGTGGTAAAGTGGACGTTTGGCCACGCAGAGGGCGGGGGTCAGACTCACACCATCAGCGGGATTCCGATAGGCTGTCATGCCGGAACCAAGAGAGACTTGAGCTTTAAGCATCAGATGATGGGAACAAAGCGCGGAGATGGATGTGAGAGTGAAACCGGGTGGGACGAAGGTGCAAATCCGGGGTATTGGGGGGGAAGTTTCAGGAAAGAATTGGCCGCCCGATCCGTGCACGATATGGCGCAATGGACGGGAGAAGGAGTAATGGCATTTCACAGGACATGATGGAAGTCACGAAAAGACGAGTCAACTGAGTGTCGAGAAGCGGCCATTTCATCATGCAGCTGGAAGATAGAAGAGATAACAAGTCCAAGGTAGAGTGTGAGGTGAGAGAAAAAGTCGGGTGATGGGTGGTGATACCGGTCAGTGCATGAGGAATTTGATACACAAGTACCGAATATTTTACCTCTTAGTCATCCATTTAGCCCTATCAACCAATAGAAGCTGCCATGGGCTACGCGGCATTTTCAAGCGCGCGTGAGAGGAAAAGGAAATGCCAAGACTAAAGCCTAAAATGCCACGCGAAGAGCCTGGAATGTCCACAGTGTCCGTCCCTCAGTCAGTCACTCAGTCACACCACCACGCGACAACCGCCGAACCACCAACTTCGCACCACTACCCACCACCCTGCATCCTCCCTCCACCACCACCACTGACTCCCGTATACGGCGGTTTCCGGTAGCCAAGTAACCTGAGCACCCTCTGTACCCTGACGTGTCTGAGCGACTTGCAGTTAGTTTCTGGGCTGAGGTGTATCATTCTCGCCAATTACTCAATCCCACCCCTTTTGGATACTACAGAGACATATCGGACCATAGAGGAAGATTCCGAACATAAAAATGGCCAAAGGAACTCGTTTGATGCCAGGAAAGAAAGACCAGATCACAGTCAACTCACTTGTCTACTGCATCCCTCCAACAATACCAACACCAACACCAACACCAACAAACCAAAGCTCATCAAATCCAATAGTCTCAAGATGATGTCCCACACAGCATCGGTAGGTCTACCATCCCCTCTATAGTGATCCCCCGAAGAAACTCCTTTTCCTTATGGAGATCCAATGGGAACCTCCCTCGTCCCATTTTGGTAGTGCTATGGTTAACCTGTGACGCCTACACAGAATCTTCCCACAGAACACACGGAAAAGGCACCGACGTCGGCCAACGTCGGCACCACCACTGGCTACGTGCCCAATTACAATGAAGCCGACTACAGCGACTTCCTCTACCTAGCCCCGTCGCTGTCGACCGAGTTTTTGCCATTGGAACCCGTCACCGACAAGGCTGCACGGCCCATGGTGAAAAAGGCCAAAGTCAGGCCCTCGGAGACATTTAACACGGGCACCACACCGCCCCCGTCCACGCCGGCTCTGGAGAAGCCCTACGCAAAGGCGACCTTTCCACCAGTTATGGATCAGTCGGCGACCTCGGCCGAGGCGATGACCAAAGCCGCCGAACGGTGTGAGCGGAGACCTAGCTTCGTTGAAGTCAGCCCAGTCAAAGTTCACCACGAGCATGAGAAGCACCCCCACCACCCAGACGTCCACAGACGGAGGTCCTCGCAAGAGTCAGAGCCCATGAGCTGGTGGCCCGAGAACGAGACCATCGCACAGCACGAGTGGGTCGAGCAGAATGAGGAAGAGGACGTCATTGAGGAGGACATTTGGGCTGATGAATTCTACGAGTGATCATGGCCCCTTTCCAAAGGACTCTATATCAGTCCCCTGTGATGTCCTCGCCCCGCCTTTGTCATCATTTCCATCGCCACCAACACCAACACGATGTACATTTCCTCAAGCTCCCCAGCTCCCCCAGCGGCTCGGTGTATATAGGAGCATATTCGACGGTTTCACATATTCTTTATTTTCTCTTCTCTTTTTCACGGACTTCAAGCAAAGCCTAAACAGCGCGACTGAAGCCGGATTTGAGGGGAAGCTACGGAAAGGTCACAGGGCGCGATTGATGGGATGAGCAATGCGTGGGGGATGTTTTGTTCGGGATATACATTTGTACACCACCAGGAAAAGGGAAGAGTGTTTTAAAAACTTTGACGTCTACTCACGTATTGATGAAATATGAAATACGAAACATGAAATGAAATAAATATATACTTAAAAAATACTCAACGCTCATAAGTATCTTGTCTGCTCCCTACTTACTGCGTACTTACTACGAGATAGAAGTTGAAATTCAATTCAAAAGGAACTAGTCAAGGTACAAGAGAGAAGGAGAGGGGGGTGGAGAAGAAAAGGAGAAGAAAATTGTAGAGTTAATAGTGGACCGTGATGGTCTACTCGTATGTATGTGTGGACATTGTGGATAGCTGGCCGCCGTGACTGTTTGTATTCGGCTGAGATGCTACCTAGACAGAAGAAGTAAGAATGAGAGAGTTATCTGGATGAATTAGGCATCACACTGCAAGAAAGAACCTCGCTTGGAAGGATATTTACCATTACACACTATATACACCTATGTACTAGGGTACCTAGGCATCTTGGTATCTTGCCATCTCCCGAAGACTTCCCAAATAGGAAATAAAAGTAAACACTCGATTACCTGATTCGGGTTGGGTATCGCGTTTCGACTATCAACATTAATATTAATGATACACATACACAGATACAGACACACAGACAGATGTCCTTGTTCTTGTCCTCTTGAAAAATTCGTTTCTCCTACTCTCTCTCTTTCTCAATCTTCCTTCTTTGACGGATAGGGGAAAAAAGGGAATTCAACAGAGTTGATTATTACAGTCTCGTATTCCTGCTTTGGTCTGCAGCGCCGGACCCGTCGTCCACGTCATCGTAGTACTGTCCATACTCACAGCACAGGACGGATGCGATCCGCCAGTCCAGCTCGGGAATCACCTCGACAATCTCGCTGGGGCGGCGTCGTCGTCGTCGTCGTGGGAGGCCCTGGTCGCGGCTCTCACCCGATCTTGTAAGTCAGACGCTGGAAGCGAACGACGGCAGGTGGATGGGCACGTGGATGTGCTTGGCCTCGCCGTGCTCGGTGACCTTGGGCACCACGATCCTCAGCAGGCCGGCGTCCAGCTTGGCGTGGGTGTTGTCGCGGTCGACGTCGACGGGGAAGTTGAAGGCCCGCACCATCTCGCCGATCTGCCGCTCGGACAGGGTCAAGTGAGGGGCGAATTTCTTGGGGGTTTGGTCTGTGCCGGTGGTTTTGGGGTCCTGTGTTGCTTCTGGAGCCGGTGGTATTGTTGTCGTCGGTGGTGCTGCAGGAGCAGGGGCAGCAGTCTCGGTGGGAGCTGGAGCGGGAGCGGCAGCCTCTGGCTTTGGTTGACCAGGCTCCTCTACCAACTCCTCTTCTGGGATCTGGGACCGATGAGTCTTACTGGTCAGCAGCAGCGTACGCTCCGTCGTCCAGCGCAGACGAAGTTCCGAGTGGTCCTTGACACCCGGCAACTCGATTTCCAGGTAGAAGTTGCCCTGGGTCTCACGCACATCGGTCTTTGGTTGATGGATGTCTTCGTCCTTGTCATGGAACTTGGTGAGCACCTTGTGTGCGACGTACGGCACGGGGATGTGGTGCAGGTGATGGCCCGGTTCTGGGTAGGTATGGGCGATGTTTGTTGTTGGGTATGGAATGATATCCGATGGGAGGTAGTACCATCCAGCGGCCATTTTTGGTTGTTTGTATGCAGGTATTATCGACTTTGGTCACGTTTTGTGTGATTTCAGGGTGTAGTTTGGCTTTGACATTGCATTCTCTCCTTCATCCCCCCAGGATGACAGGTAGTCTCGTGTATATGTCTTGCACGATACATCCCTCGCCTCTCCCTACCAAGACTCGGGCATGTCATGTGCCCGTCGAAGAAGAAGCCCATGGTCAGTGCCAATATCTGATGGTCTGTGCCTGAAGCATCGAGAAGCCTCACCTCATGATCATGGGGAGTTTTGCACAGAATACACAATCATGCGATCGGGAGATGAAGGATCAACACAGTCAGTCATTGGCAGTGACACTTCTCCGTTAGGTGAGTTGCGTGAGAAAGTTTCAGAGATATCGTGGTGTGATGTTGTATGCATAGCCATGCATGTCTCGGCAGGAGAGGCAGAGGGCAGCAAATTTCCCTCCAATGGCTGGTAACGTGCGATACCACCAAGTTGTGTGGGGCCTGGGACCCGGAGCTTTTGGATTCCTGGACTTCTAGGCTTCTGGGCACTGGGCTCTAGGCACCTGGCACAGCCTGGGCACCTCGGCGCCTGTGCAGGTGTGCAGTGTGCACTTGGGATCCGAATCGGCGAGGTACGTGTACCGATAGGGGGGCTCCGCCCCTAAAAACCCCTCCGAAGATCTTGAACCGCTTTGCATGTTCCCACTTGGGAGTTAATCGCCCCAACCAAGGGTGCCGCGTCGTTGGGAGAAGAGGCTCATTAGGCTTAGAAGGAGCCTAAAACGCTGCATTGAACGCCCGTGGGCCCTTAGCTAGGTCTCGGTGGCCCCCTCCTACTGGCCCCTACGGTAACACTGTAGCTCGGGTCTCAATTGAGATCTGCAACCTGGTCATGCCACTCAATTTATGCCTCAACAGCCAACGCGATCCAGCCTATGCATGCCCAAGTCTAGCACAATGAGCTACAATGGGAACCTTGACAACTTCCAAGACATATTTATATGAGATCCCCCAAGCCTGCGGTCTGTTCCAGCTCGTTTATTGTTTTTACCCTATCAGACATTACAAGACATCTTTACAAGACATCATAAAGAAACTCCAATCAGCAATATAGAGATTGGTATTTTCCTTTTTTCCACCTCATCACACACACACACACACACATACAATCAACTACAACACAACCAACCAACCACAAAAATGCTTCGAACAACGATTCCAAGAAGCTGCATGACCAGAATCCGAACTCCTCAGTTTTGCCAATCATTCGTCACGGTACGGCCAAACTGGAGTGAAGGCGACACTGGATCAATACGCGCTGGAGGCGTTGCCGCGAGGTACGTACCAACCACTGCCTCGATTACCACCACATTCCCCTGTACTTGCTAACACTGGAATTTCTACAGTGACTCATTCAATCGCCGCGAACAAGTCTTGGAGAACATGTACTTCAAGCAACACGAGATAGAAAAGTGAGTTGTTCCACCATTTGACATTTCTAGATTAAATGTCTAACATGTTGCAAAACAGTATTCGGAAAATGAGAGAAAAGCTCCTGGCCCAGCGGAAACACCTAGACGAGGTCGAGAGCCATCTCAACGAAATGGAGGCCGCTGCAATCAAAAAGGCGGCAGATCAAAAGTTGTGAATAGACCCCCATCAACTACCACAACTACCCTCCAATCAACCAACCATGAACCCGGGCGTTTTTTTGATTAAGGAGCCTTTTTGAGGGTTTGGGGAAAAGCGATAATGGATCAATTGCTTTAGAAGAACGAAAGTCCAGTCAATTTGGTCAAGTCTGGTCTGGTCGGTCGAATCAGACCTGTGGGAGTTACACAAGTTCCCCCGATGCTACGATTATAATTTACCTGGAGTAGCGTCTGTAATCGTACAATGTTTTCCAATGGAATACGATTCACACAACACAAAAGTCTCTACTCGGTACAGAAATCTTTTCTTTTTTCGGTGGGCTAGCGAAGCTGTTCGTGTTTGTTGTGTTGCGGGGTCTTGAAGAAACAGCTCCTTCTGAGCTCCGTAGCTCCTTTGCGTCATGTCATCTTAGCTTCAAACCTGAGAGCTCCGAGCCAAGCCCGTTGGCAGCGTCCCCAGAATTGTCGAGGCTTGGTAGGAGGTCGTTGTGAAGTAAGTGATTGAGCTGCATGAGCGACGAAAGTGTGGAGAGGCAAAGACCCTGCACGATGCGAATAATGTGGTCTGTGCGCATTGCCTGCGGCTTTCTGGAATATCCTGTCACACCATGATTGTCAGAGGTCATCCCTCGTGCCCTCGTAACAGTAGTTACTCGTAACTCGGGTTCCCAAGAAAAGCCGCGCCAATTTTTTTTCCCTCCCTCGAGGCTGATTTGTTGAGGGGATTTTTTTCTTCCCTTGCTGGTGGATAAACTAAACTGGTCATTCGATCAGAAAGTTTGTTTAGGCAATCCCCCTCCCCCCCGAAGGTGCCAGTCCCGTATTGCCTATGGTTCTGGCTGGATCTCTCGCCCTCTGTTACTTGTATTCCGCTTGTCCGTGTCCGGGTACTGGCTAGAACCTTGTCACTGAGAAACCTTGAGATGAGACTCGTCCGCAGTCATGCCCAAACCACTCAAAATCTCGGGGGCAGGTCCCATTAGGTAATCTCATGAGCCGAAAGCAACCGCTTTTGCAAGTAATGAGCATCACGCCACGACGGTTTGGTAGCTTCGAGCAATGGCGTGTCTGTTCGGTTGAGGGAAGGTGAGAGCTCAAAGGTGAATATATGATGTTCGACGCCGCACCGGCACCACCGTCGTGACTCTGGCAGCTCCGAACAGAAGACCAAAATAACACATAACAAGAAGGTATCAATCCATTTTTGAGGGACAAGACAATACCAAAAGAAACCATGGCCAGCAAAGACCTCGAGAACCTCTACCACGTCGTTTTCAGCATCTCCAACATCTCCAAAGATCCCAACCTCGCGATCGAGAAACTGCGCATCTGCGGCTCCTATACAGACCTGCCCGCCGCAAAGGCCGCCGCCCACCGGACTCTCTTCGAGGCGGGCTACGAGCGAGAATGGTTCATCGAGTACGACACCAACGAGCAAGACTTTGAAACCCACCACATCAAGAGAAAAGCCGGCCTGTGTGTCTTTGCCAAGGCGAGCGACGGCACCATCTTCCGCGTGAGCGTGGCCACCACGCAAAACACTCAGGGTTTCGAGAGCAACCCCGAGGACCATAAAGTGCACGGCGACGTGTACCACGTGGTTCAGACCATCGTCCTGTACGACGAGGACGACAGTGGCAAAGCCCGGGAAACGATCGTCGAAGGCTCATTTAAAAAGTACGAGGATGCTCGGAAGTTCGCCAGCACGGTCCTGCTGGCGCCCGAGGATGGCGTTACAAAGGAGTCGTTTGCAGAGTACGACGAAGCCGCACCGACGGAGAAGGACTGCGGATACGGCGAGAATGTAGTGGTACATGCGGTCGGCAGCAACGGCGAGAATCTGTTAATCAGTGTCCTGAAGGGCCAAGAGATGGAGTCGGTGAGGTTGGCAGAGGCAGCCATGAGAATCCGCTCGTTCAACTAAAAAGGGGGGTTTAAGGCATATCTATCATATTTTGGGGTTAATTTACAAAGTCGACGTCAATTAGCCAGGAAGGATATGGAAATTGACAACGCTGTACAAGTATAAACATCAGTCTTTCTCACAAGTACAATTACTATGTCCAAATCATCAAGGACAAGTTGACCACCATGTCGTCCACCCAAAGTACCAAAGAGGGGATCTGGTAGAGGATAGGTGAACGGAAAGGATCAACGTTGGACCGATGTCCCGAGTCGATTTCGTCGTGGGGCTTGCACAGCCTGTTCGGAGCATCCGGAGATGGGTGGCTCTTCCGGAAGATCCCGCTAAGGACAACCAAATGGGGGCCTCTTTGGGTTTGCTGGGGGTCATTGGCTGTACCCTTGTGACCCCGAAGGTCTCCGGGGTAGCGCCGAAGTGTGCCCAGGAAATGGCAAGACTCTTACCGGTCAAGCCTGTACAAGTACGGTGCCTTGCAGGAGGACCAGAGATATCACACCACTGGCTTAACCAACCGTGCCCATCCATGCCCCATTTGCCCACTGTCTGTTGTCGTCATCGATCTGTAAGGGAAGCCGCCTAGAAACTACCAGATGCATTTGTACTCGGTAACCATTTGGACGCCAGGCCACGGGGCCAAGTCACTAACGCGCATCACATGGGCGCAGTCAAGCAAGTCTCCATCGCAAGACTGTTGTGTGACTGAGGCTTCAGTTTGCCCAAAACCTCATTTCTCGGAATCCTCGTGTTTCTCTCTCCATCACACAGTTTCTTTCTGCGACCATGCTGATTGTTCTTCCTCAGACGACTGTCTCATCATCATATTTCTTCAATGTACTTGTACTCGTACAGCGTCATTGCGTTCTGTTTCCTGCGTGCAATCCCCAGAAATTGACTGGCTAAGCGAATAACATTTTTATCCTTGGACGTTTTTCGGCGAAGAAACACACTTCCCTTCTGATAAAGAAATCACAACCCCATGTACATCCCCAGACAGCAATTCCTCACCGAGGCCGACACTTGGCCTCAGAATGTCGAGACCCCCCTTCAATCCAATGGCTCGGTCGGTCCATACCCGGGAATACCTGCCGATCAGCAACCGCCGTATAATAGAGACAATCCGGATATCCACAGTATTGCGGTGTTTATACAAATAACATGGATGCTTTGGTTTGTGTTGATACTGTTGATGATGTGGTGAGCGGCATCGGACCCCAATATACCGTCAAGGCTCGAGCTGACGCAGAGACAAAAGTCGTGCTCTCTTCGATAGGTTCAGTCACGGGGACGACAATTCAGATACCGAATCAGACATCACAGAGGCGGGCTGGCGGGTCGAGGATTCGAGCCTGCCCCCTACGTCGGTAGCCTCGCAGCATCGGAAGAGGTTGAAGAAGCTCGACCAGGTCGCTCCGGCTCAATCCCTGCTCCACTGGAGAGCCGAGAAGTCAGAGGAACACGTTCAGACCTTTGCAACCGTTTCCTCGAGTCTCAGTTGATATGTTTACCTCCGCCCTTTTCTTCTCTTCATTGACTGACATCCGCAGCACTGCCATCTGTTTGGAATCGCTGGAAGAAACCGATCTTATCCGCGAACTCCGCTGTGGCCACGTCTACCACGCCAACTGTCTGAGCCTGTGGGTCGAACGCGGCCACCACGATTGCCCTCTTTGCAAATACGACATGTTGGGGCTGATGAAGAACTTTTTGAAACCTCATCCCGACGACGACGACGACACTGTTGTCAACCCTGATGCCGTTCAAGAAGCTGGTCAACCCTCTGGCGAGGTGTGTTCCCTTGACGCGAGCGGTTGCTGAGTGTTTGCTGATAAAAGCATAGACGCATAACGAACATACCCCTGACTATGGGAGCATATCGAACAATAGGACCCCTGAACCTTGAGACAGTGGGATCCTGAATTTACTTCGGATTTTCTTCTCCGCATCAATTGAAGCGGCGACACCCTGATGATTTTTAGGACCGGCAACTCCACATAATGGAACACCACGATTACCCTGCCAAAAGGTGATCAGGATAATCAGAGATATTCTCCGACCGCCGAAAGTGATGATAATATCTCAATTTGCAGTACTGTGTACCAGTGAGTGCCGGACAGCCGTCCTGCTACGACGACAACAGCCAGTGGCCAAAAAGGGCTGGCTAATGAGAGTTGGCTCGACTCTTCGTTGCGCGACGCTGTGCTGTGCCGTGTGTGACAACTACCGTCCCGAGGAGTCCACGATGAGCCTACAAGATTGGCTGATCTCGACGCGAGATGCCGAAAACTTCTGGGCTTTTGCCGTGCTCCCCCTTTACTCTGGGGTTACAAGGCACGTCTAATGATTTGGACACAAATCCAAGGGACTAGGCAGGACATGATCAATCGCCTCCTGCCGGAGAGCTGTCCCGTTGACTGCAATAGCACAAGCACCGAGAAGAGCAGTAGAGGGCATAAGCGTATAAGCTTGGGATGTAATCACATCCGCAATGGACCCGTGACTGCCTCATGAGCCTCGTGGCCACGATATTTACAAACTTCTTACTTCGTGCTGGGAGATGACCAGCCCACGAATCTCCTCTCTCTCCTCCGGTCTCTGATCTGCTCTCCTTCCTAATTGGATGAGCCAGCCACTCGTCAAAAGAGGCTCAATCGGGCACGATCCTTTTTCAAACAACACGACCAATATCCGTGTGGTTTGACCAATATACTAAAACCCCTCTTCTTCTTCTTTTTTTTCTCCTTTCCTTCTTCTTCTTCCTTTTTTCTCTCTTGTCTCAAGAAGCACTCGTAACTTCGTCGACCATCCTTCTAAACTCCCTCTGCCTCTCACACTGCTCCAAAAAGACCTTGTACTTTACGTCCAAGAGGGCCTTGACCCGCTTGTCCTCGACGGGCCGGACGACCTTGCCGGGCTTGCTCATGCGGTCCATGATGCTCCACAGGTCCTCGGTGTTGCCGTTCGCGTCGGCGCTTGCGGCTTTCGCGCCCAGCATGGCAGCGCCGTGGCACACGGCGGCGTGGACGTAGCGCGGGATCAGGACGGGCATGTCGCAGGCCGTGGCGACCAGGGCCATCAGGATCTCGTTCTGGCACTGGCTGCCGGACATGAAGATGGACGAGATGCGGTGGCCCGCCGCGTTCATGGTCGATATGATCTGCCATGTCTGCAGGGCGATGAACTCCATCGTGCCGTAGTAGTACAGGGCCAGCCCGTCGAGGGACTTGTCGCTCGACAGGCCGACGACGGAGCCGGACATGGTCGGGTCGGCGATGGGCGACCGATTGCCGAACAGGTCGCCGTAGAAGAAGAAGTGGCGGCCCAGGTGGCTCACGCTGGGCGCGGCCGTCTTCTCCTTCATGTCCTCGAGGTGCTGGTTCAGAAAGTCGTAGACGTTGCTGTTGGTCGACTCGGCGCGCGCCAACGCCTGGTTGTACGCCGGGTGCGTCTCCAGCACGTGCTTCAACAGCTCCCCCGTCGCCGACTGCCCGCCCTCGGCCATCCAGAAGTTGGGCATCACCGCGTCGCGGTACGGTCCCCACACGCCCGGCACGAAGACCGGGTCCTTGCTCATGACGAGGTGGCACGTCGACGTCCCCGCGACGGCCGCCAGCCGCGTAAACGCCTGGGACTGGTCGTTCGCGGGCGCCTCCTGGGAGAGGTGGTCCGCCGACAGTTGGACCTTGGCGCCCACGGTGCCGATCCAGCCTGCGTAGGCGTCGATGACGCCGCTACCCACGGCGATACCGGCGGGCAAGCCTAGGTCTGCGGCGGCGCGTGGACAGAGATGGCCGGCCAGTTCGCCCGCCGAGAGGTATTCGCCATTCTGTGTTTCACAGTGTTAGTCCTCGAGTTCAATAAGACCTGTGACAGAGATATAACGAGAGCAAAGGGGGAGGGGAGGAGGGCCTTTTTTGTGTGTGTGTGTGTGTGTGTGTGTTTTGAGAGTGATCTCGTGCAACTCCCTTGTTCCCTCTCTCCCCCCGAAGAAAAATAGACAGACGGATAAAATGATATCGTGTCTGGGTTTTTTTTCTGGGGATTTGGTTTGTAAAGAAACAGGCTCACCACCCCGTTGACACCACCCATTCTCTTGAAATTGTCCTCGGCCAGATCCTCCAGGCCAATCTCCTTGAGAAAATCCTCCTGCCACCCTTTGACGCTGCCGTCGACGCCGACAGGCACGTACCCCTGCTTGCAGACGACCGAGCAGAAACTCCGCTTCTCGTTGCCCGTGGCGATATGCTCGAGGGCGTCGGTCAGATCGTAGAATTTGCACCGGTCGAACAGCTCCTTGGGCATGTTGTTCTTGAGCCACAGGACCTTGGGGATCTCCATCTCGATGGACATGGTGCCTCCGACGTAGCGGAGCAGGTTGTGCTTGGTGGCGTTGATCTTCTTGGTCTCCTCGACGGGTCGGTGGTCCAGCCACAGCACGACGTTGTGATCGTTTTGCGTCGAGTCAAAGTTCGGGCCCGTCACCGAGACGGGCTCGTCCGTGTCGTGCGTGAACACGGCCAGCGAACACGTCGCGTCGAATCCGATGCCTCGAATCGAGTGAGGGTCGATGTTGTTCTGCGTCATGGCCCGGTGTACCGACAGGCAGATACAGCGCCAGATGTCTGTGGTGGATTGTTCCTGCTCTCTCCCTCTCCCCAGGGTGGCGGGGTTGGGTTGTTAGAGAATACTGACACGAGGAGCCAAACAAAAAAGGGAGACATTGGAGACTGGGACCATGGAGAGAATGGGATCCTTACATAGTATCCCGTTTGAGGCTGCCAGAGGCCAATGTTCTCTGATGACAGACCGACAATGTCGCCAGCCTCGTTGATGATACACGCTCTGGCACTGCCCGTGCCGACATCGATGCCAATGTAATGGTTCATTTGGACATGGACCTCGTTCCTCGCGTCCACCGAGCCTTGTCGCGTGGGTGTTCGAATCCCAGTGTTGGGCCCCGGACGGAAAGGTAAGGAGCCTGATGAAGCCATGACGTGGACCCGAAGAACTGAGAAACAGAAACGGGGTAAAAGAGTAAAAGAGGAGAGAAGTGTAAGAGCAATGAGAATCAAAAACAAAAAAGGCCACTGTACTTCAAGGCCGATAGAAAAAAAAGTTGAAGTAGTAGAAGGTGAGGGGGTGGGATATGCCCAATTCAGCAAAGCCGATCAATGAATGAATGATACATAAGAAATCTGCCCCTCGAAGCTACGAGGTCAAGGGTGTCACGATGGCTATGTCATTTTCTGTAGATCTTTGGAAGCGTTTGTTGAGGCTGCAGGGTCATGGGCCTCAGTGGGGGAAGAGTGACCGGGGCGACCGGGACCCTTTCTTGCCTGAGTAGCGCAACCTGATGGATGGAGCTGTCAAGGTCGAGGCACCAGAAGCACCAGAGGCGGATGTGAGCGAGGGAGACGCCCAATGGAGCCTGGAAATGCTTGTTGAGTGGAGAGGGAGGGCACATGTGGGAACTGGTGGGATGGCATGGCAAATAATAAATATGTGCAGGGGTGGGAGGAGGGCCAGGGTGAGGAGGGGGAGAAGAGGGGGTGGCTACTTTTATATTACATATACCGAGTAATAATATATACACCAAGTATACCGAGTATATGTATATATATACTCGGTATACCTAGGTATAATATACCGACTACTCGGTACAGGTCGAGAGCCACAAAACCACATGTAGAATCGCCCGCATTGAATCAACACTTTCTTCAGCTCCCTGCATCGGGCAATATTGGTATCAACTATTTCTCTCAACACAGCGACAGAACAAACTGCCGCTCATCTTTAATAGCCACAATGGCACATATGGCGAGGCAACCACGACTCAGCCAGCTCATATATATATATATATATATACAGGGCAAAAGAGAAAAGCAATGAAAAATAATTGAGGTGCGCAGGACTGCCTGGACCTCATTCAACCATCGCGCCGCGCATCCTTCACTATCGCAATTCGCCATCCGTGGTGAACAGACATGACCAGCCCACATTGTGTTGATAAACGCCACACATATTCCCTCCCTCCCAGTTTCCCGATTTTTACTGTCCCCCTTTTGCCCTGATACCCATCGATCCCGTTCGCCCGTCTTTTTCTGGTATAAGCTGTGTCATCATCACTGCATGTCCAAGCCTCGCGAAAGGTCCAATAAGCTCTTCTATTCGTTTCGTGACAAAGAAGAATGTTGCTCAATCAACGCCAGGGCCGACCCGTTATCATACACTTATCGCACACCCCTCGAATCGTGGATTTGCGCCAACTGGGCCAGGACATTCGGCATCTTCGGTATGCCGATCGTGTCGTTTGATGCTGGCACACCATTCGTCGTCTTGTGGGGAGGAGAAGCTGCCATTGGCCTTGTTGTCAAGGAGTCATACGGGCTGTATGGCGGTTCTTCTGTCTCCTTCATGGGAACATCCTTGACTGGAATACTTGAAACAACCGCGGGAGAGGGTGTCGGTCGAGCAGGTGATTCAACGACTTGTGCATTCGCGAGCCCCAAGTCGATGGTCCCGGGAGAGTCTTGTCCCGCTTCTGCCAGCGCTTTTGATGGCTCCATCTCGCCCGTGCCCAGAATCGCCTGGGTCTGGGACTTCTCAGCCGAAGGGGTAGACGCCAGGCGACGGCTCATGTAGTCTCCCAGGCTGAGCTTCTTCCGCGTGGGGTTGGGCGTGACAACAGTATTGACGACAGGAAGGTATGAGCCAGAAGATGCTGAGTTGAATGGGATAGGCGACTGTGCTGTCGCGGTGGTCGTTAATCCGGGAGTCGTCACCGTGGCCGAAGACGACGACGCAGAAGTTGCAGAGCC